GGACATAAGCAATGTGGATTGACTTTTTATGATACGCTGTACTAATAAAAGAAAGCTTCGCTAAATTTCTTTACTAGTTTTAATTCATTGAGCGGTTTTCTAATTCCCAAGACACCAGAGTCCGTTTTATAGTTTCGTAATTCCCCGATTCCCGTTTATCCTGTCGAATTTCTGTTTCTTTTTTCTGTTCTTTTTCCCCCCGTACATATGATTAATATTACGTATTAACAATAATTCATAATTCCCCGATTCCCCTGTCCCCCCGTTCCTCGTTCCCGCATTCCCCGTTCCTCTATTGCCCGTTCCCCCATTCCCCGTTCCCCCATTCCACGTTTTTCGAAAGAGAAGACGATCTTTTTGCCTGTATTCAATCTACAAACACTAAAAACAAGTTTACTACTCGTATTTTACTCGTATGTACTCGTATTCTACTCGTATGTACTCGTATGTACTTGTGTTTTACTCGTATGTACTCGTGTGTGACTCGTATGTACTCGTATGTTACTCGTATGTACTCGTATGTTACTCGTATGTACTCGTGTGGTGTTTTAGTCACGATCGTCTAGACGGCCTGGCGTCAAGGATAATGATTGGATAATATTTTTAGAATATGATGCATTAAGCCATTATACATTTTTTGCATTCTTTATCCGAACCAGGAATCGCTAACAAATTCACCAGAGGTTTTTCCTTTTTCTTCGCGTGTTTTCTCGCATTTCGCGTTCGCCAAACCTAAAAAAAACTCTGGGCCAAGGTACTAGTTAACCTATTGTGCCGGAATGCGCCCCAGTGCGCCCTACTTAATCGTTTTTGCTTGCCTAACGCCAGACGATGTTACTCGTCAATGGGGAAGCTCTGCAACTTAATGGGTTAACCAGAGTCTTTCTTAAATGAAAGGAAATCAATGTCTTGACAGTACAGTAGATCTTATAATTTGAATCACATATTTTGTCCAACTATAAAACAAATGGTATCATCTGATCTGTTTGAACTATCATACATGATATAAATTACAAGAGGCAGTTAATAAAGGCTTTTTTAACTGTGGCTAAAATTATATGTTAATTCAGTAATAATAAATAATTCAACTCTTTATACCTGTTTACCACATCCACCTTCAATTAATAAAACTGTGTTGATGCGTTGAAACAAACTAAGTTCATGCCATCGAATGTTCATAATGATTGAGTAAATAAAGCAATATTTAACTTTCAATTCATCTGTTGTGTTTTTAATGTCAATTTCTTTTCCTGCCATAGAATTTAACACATCAATAAGAAATGGATGATGTGTTATCATTTCTTTCCACAATAGGTCAATGCTAAAATCCTTCATAATCGTATACTGTTCCATACTTGCATACAACACTGATGAATGACTGGATCGTTTGCAAAGTGCATCAGAAGACACTTTACATTTATGCAAAATGTTCCTTTTTATTGCAACTTCAACAGATGGACAGGCTTCTGTTACTATATCTGCAACAGCAGAAGGTATTCTTGTCCTTGATGCTCGTTCCAATTTTGCTTGCTGAACTGATGTGATGGGTGTTGTGACATATGTATTAAAATGGGAAACATATACTGAGGAAGGATGAAGTGGTAGGACTGATGAAGGTTGAGGCTCCGTATGTGATTGGCGGCTTAATGGTATAATAGTCCGCACAGAAACATAATGCACAGATGGTGTCTGTGGTTTACTACTATGATCAATGTTCATCTGAGTTCTATATTGCATGTCTTGTAAGTGATCAATTTTATCAAAACCAAGTGTCCTTCTTGTGTTGTTATCATCATTTGACACAAAAGCATTGCGCTTTGCAGGCTGTTTGCAAGCAGCAGGTGAGGTTGCAATTCCACGTTTAACACTAAATTGTTGTCTCAGTGTTATTTGAACTCCTTGAATTTGTTGTCTGAATTCCCACATCTTATTTACAAAGTTTCCACATTTTCGACAAATGACTGTTGGAAGATAATCTGTCTCAGCTATGACTATGGCACATGTTTGCAACACCTTTCGTTGCCAATCCTTTTGTATTCCTGAGTTTGCATTGAGATTTTTACAAATTTTATAAAACTATAGAAGATGAATTTAATTAAATATGATTTGTGACTATATCGATCTGAAACTGCCAATTTATATAGTTTTTGCTTACCGCTAGGTTTCTACTAAAAGAGGATTGTGCATTGTATGTCACATTTTGGACAAAAGCATAAACATAAATAGCTGCATGCAGTTCCTTATCAGGTAGCCACTCCTTAAATATTTTAAGATATGCCCCAAAGTTGGATATTTATGTAATGTATCATATATCATATTGACATGGGAGCATCATTATCATTGGATATTAATTTTGTAACATATATCTTAATGGCCTGGGTACATCACCTTTACAAATTATTAACACATTAAAGTTCTTCTTGATTCATGAGAGCAATGCTTCCACAGGACAACTTGGGTTTGTATTTATATAAAGGTATTAATTGTAAACGAAATAACCTGAATAAATTAGCACATCATTTTTGTAGGGGTTTTCCTTAAATTGTCATGATTATCACCAATCTTTCTTAAAAAATTTCCTTTCAAAATTGTTAATATATAAATTGTCTTGGACATACAGTATGTACCCATGTCCCAAATGCCCATGGTTGTACGGTTAAATCATATGGTTATGGTGGCCCATTGGGCTCATAGCAAAACAATAGCATATTTCTACTATTTTTTACTAAAAATATATATTAAAAATAAAATAAAAAAGATTTTAAAAAAAATTCAGAAAAATTTTAAAAATATTTGAAAAATAACGAAAAATAAAGACACAAAATTAATAATAGTAAAACTAAACAAAAAATGGTAAACTAAAAATTTTAAAAATAAAGTTAAATAAAAAATATAAAAATTGAAAAATAAAAGAATAATTGGTAAGAAATTACAAGTTATGAGAACATTTAAAATACAAATTCAAATTCGTTTTCATATGCTATGAGACCACTGGGCCTGATCATTAAATACGAAATTCAAAATGAAATCCAAAACAAAATGTTGCATGAAGCCCATTCGGCCCATAGCCCGCGATATAGTTGGTCAACGGCTCAACGCAGTAAAACAATATGGCGGCTCGCATACGAAATTCCGACTGGGAGCATGATCAAGAGCTAAAAGACGATCTAGAGAAGTATGTTATGAGAAATTTATCGAGGAAAGAAGTTTTAGACTTTGTAGCACGAGACTATCCCCAGTATGCCTGGTCCTTAAGCTCTTTAAAAAGGAGACTGACGTCTTTTGATATTAAGTACATAAGATACGATACTGAAATCGAAGACGTCCAGACTGCTGTAAGAGAAGAAATGGAAGGCCCAGGGCAACTATTAGGGTATAGAGCCATGCAGCATAAAATCCGAGAGCAACATCAACTGTTTGTCCCTCGAAATTTGGTGTACGATATGATGACAATGGTGGACCCGGAAGGTTTACAACGCCGAGGAAATGTCGGTATTAAAAAGAGACGGAGGGGGGCTACAGGAACATTCACGTCAGCGGTAAGCTTTGTATGCGCTATTAAAGTTCAATGTTGTACTAGATCAAAAGAGTATTTTAACTATGGGGCATATTTTGCCAGATAAGTAAGGGGCTGTCGTTTCTGAACGGAAATTGCCCCCTATAAAGGCTTTAACTCCATCCCCCCCCTCTCTGCAGAGGAAAGTGCCCTTCTGCCAATCGTGGTAGGATAAAAAAAGTGGGAGAAAATATAAACAGATCTTATAGAATAGCTCCTATAAAATATATAGTGAGAGAAAATGTAAACAGATTTCCTTTTCCAAATAGGGGCCAAACCACACTCACTCGGGTGATGCATGGTCACGACAAGTTGATGGGATTTATGAATTCTACATTTCCATTGGCAGTATATGGGCTGCAAGATGCCTTCAGTGGCTACATTTTATATTTAAAATTGTGGCCAGGAAATTCTGACCCAAAACTTATTGGTCGTTGGTATCTCGAGCATTTGTACCGTGTAAAAGGTAATTGTATAAGTCGTACCTCGACTTTGTCTCGGCGAATATTCCCCGATAATCGCCTCGCCTTCGGCGAATAATTGTTAAATATTTATGCAAAACATTCTGAGAGTTAAGGAACTCTACATTTTTTGACATCTCAATACAAGAGAAATTTCAAATTTAAATAATGAAAACAAGGGGCTTTACTACTCAATACTTTATGTTTTGTGTGAAGGGTTTTTTAAGCATATGTATTCTAATTTTTTCTTCATATAGTGATAAGCAAACATCTTAGACTTGATAAAGGTACTGAGACAGGAGACATGGCCACCATCCATGCCTTTATAAGGCAGACACAAGAAGGCGCTGATGAAGCAGCCGAGACAGTTCATTATGGCCCTTCGACCAGCAACAAGGTTCAATATAAACTACAGAAAATTATGTATCCAACTAATTAACTATTTTTCAGGACCAATTTATATTATTAAATTGTATATATGTTTGTGTATTCACTGTCAAATTAGATTGAAAGATGGTGGCGAGAGCTGCATGAACGGTTGGAGAAATTTTTTAAGAGACAGCTGATGATGCTGTTAGAGCAAGGTCATTATGACCCTGACATAGAAACGGACAGGTAAATAACAATTGTGCCAAACCAAAGGTTATAGATTATATGTAGTGTCCAATATAGAAGCCATTGTCTAAGCAATACACCAATATTGGCCATCTACTGACTGACCTGACTGTTCGGTGCTAACATAGTAACTTTGTGAATCTATAGTGTAAGGAACTCACCACCAAAAAATTGTCTTACAGACACCTGTTGGCATTTGTCTTCATTCCTATAATTCAAAAGGAGTTGGAAATTTTCCGGGAAACAATATGGAATTCCCATCGAGTTAGGAGTCAGAAGGATGCTCAGATGCCAAAAGGAATTCCAAGCCATCTCTATTCATTTCCTGAACAGTATGGGTCAGAAGAATGTGGTATGTATGCTGAACTGGAACATTAAAATGTTCTATGTTATTTCTTCAACAAATGTATAACAATACTTTACTTTGCAAAATTTGTAGTAATTATCTTTAAATATTGATATAGGTATGCCTGTCAGCAATGAGATACTTAATGAAGTTGTAGAAAATTCAGGTGTAATGGCATCTGGTGATGACTACTTGCCACAAAATGTGAGAGCTGAATGTGAAAGCGTCATTCCACATATTGAGGATGTTAAACCAGCTGAGGGAGCAGATACATTTCTTTTTCTCAAGGCCCACTACCTATATATTTCGCCACCGTTCGAATAATAAGTAGACACTGTACTGTATGTATATATTTAGTTATTTACTGTGGGTTAGCCTAACTGAGTGTGTGTTTTTAGAATCCCAAAAGTAGCACAGTCCTGCAAAAGTAATAAAAAATTGCAAATGTTTAACCTATTCAGCAGCAGTGTTCTCCCCTTGACAAGTAAAATTATCTGGCTTTAGATGAAGTAAAATAATAGGTACAATATAGCTTAATAAGATTATGGGTTGAAAATCTCCAATTTCCAATCTAAAATTATCTCCCCAAGTAGCTCAAAACCATAACAGCTGTCAGCAGTGGATAATACTTGTCAAACATGATTCTATGGTATTCTATAAACTTTTAACCCATTACGTTGCATTGCACCCCACTTTTATTTTACTTATTTTATGCCAGACAATTGTACTTGTCAAGGGGAGAGAGCTGGCACTGCATGGATTAATCTCTTATACCAAATTTTATTAGCTATACAATCCTGTTAACAAGAAAAATGTTTGGTAAATTATGGCTAACAGTAAACAAAACAAGATTAATTTAAGTGCAAAATGCTGTCTATGTATGGTATCAACTATCAAAACATGGTCTATTAAGGTTGCAAGTTCAAGTTTTAGTCCACCTCAATAAACATTTTGTTCTCTGCAAGTTTCATCATTCCACAGAATTTGTTGCATTTATGTGTTGCAAGAAAGGCATCTATTCCAACAGACGAACAATTGCCACAACAAAAGTATACTTCATTACTTTCTACATCTAAGACCTCTTTTGTTGCAATTTCAGGGTCAAAAAGTTTGTACCCCATTCCTTGAATATCCAACAACATGAATTTTGTGTTAGAGGATTGGTAACTGTGATGCACCAAACATTCAGCCTTTTGGAGCAGCTCTTTGAAATCATCATCATCATCCGGAACTGGGATAATAATGCCATTGTTATTGATTAACTTCACAAATGATCCGGGAACAAACTCCTCAATTGTCGCTGGTTGACCATCGATTGTTGTGTAGTAGCAACGGTTATACTGGAAACACTCTCCAAATTCACGAGGCAATAGGGACTTGAATTTCTTTGTTACATGTCTTGCAACTGCATGCATTTGCACTTGCTTTCTGCAGTGGTTTTCTACTGTGGTTTGCATTGCCCCAGTGATTGATGCAACAGCTTTAGCATTGTACAATTTCACTACCCATTTATTTCCAAGATGCTCCGTGACTGAATTACTTGTGAGAGTAGCATTGTAGGCATCACGAAACCCACCAGAAGCAAATTTCTCCTTCTCTACATTACACACAACCTCTACCATATCTGTCCATTTTTGGGTTGCAACATCAAACTCCTCAAACGTAAGGGTTACCTTGTTTTTCAGTTTTGGTTTTACCAATTTGCCTGCTTTCAGTAGAGCATCTATGGATACTGATGCAGGAAACTGTGTATCCATTGAAGGTCGTTTGTATGTTCCTTTTGGTTCCATTGGGCCTGAGGATGGACTATATCTCTTTTCAGATTGTGTGTTAGATCTTCTAGACGAATTAGTATCAAACACACTTGTCACACTACAATCTTGACCTGGATAAACTGAACTGACTGAGTTATCTTCTTGCCCCACCACAAACCGCACCAAGTACACCTAGTATGTAAAAAGGCATGCAGAGTCAAAGGTGATGTCAATGCACATTATATCTTGTAATGATAAATAAATTACATTTGTAAATAATAAACACATTTATTATGTTGAACAAACATTACATTCCAAACACTCCTCTTGTGAGGATAGTGAATGTCAAAGTCCTATGGCATCACCAGAAGGATATAGTTACTGACAAATAGTGCATTATCAGCCACCACAGGTGTAAAAATTGGTCAAAATAATTTTACCATAATAATCTTTGTTTACTCACAACTCCCCCATCCACTTTAATTTAATAAACACCCCATAATGGTCACTGATCATGGTTACAATTCCATGACATATATTACTTAGGGTCAGTTTTAAGAATAGGGAATAAATAGTGTCTAGTAATTATGCTAGTACATTATATCTGGTGACTGAGTGTTATGGAATTAAAACCTGCATTAATGTGAGCTGGGAATAATACTGGATCTGACATCCAGTGCCATCTCTAATATTGAGTCAGCTTTTGAACATTGAATGGGCATTATGGACATTTGACAGGGTGACTTGGGCATAATAATTCATTCTGTATAACAGAAACTCGAACAGGTGAAATTATGAAACAGGTGGAATTTCACAAAAATTCAATAGAATTGACCAGCTGTGGCCACCATTTCTCACTTCGGAAAAGAGGAAGCCTTGGGGTTCATTTGGTTTTACGTATGGTTCATTTCGTTCTGAACCGCCTCCCCCCCCCCCCAGGAAATGTACACAGACATGCACTTTCCCTGGGGCCGGGAAATTTTGTTGAGCATATTTAATAGTCCCAGGGGTGTCCCATGAGGGTGGGAAATATGCACAGGGCTTTGTGCCTAGCCTGTGAACCCACTGCAACCTGTTTCCCAATAAGCCTCATGTAACACTTTAACATTGATGCTTAGTGAATACTGAATACCTTTCAAAGATCAGCATTCATGAAATTGTGCAATAATAATGGCTTGTGAATATGTTAAGTTGTCACTATTATTTGCCTGGGGGTGGGGAATTGATAGTATAGAAATAAAAAATCTGCAAATGAAATCCTCCAAGGATTGAGAGTGGGTGGACGGGGTGGGGGGGGGGCGTTAACAGGAAAAATCGAACCATGCACAACGATAGGTCTATGTCTGTTAAAATACAGGTATTTTCAGATATAAAAATTATACATATACTTTTCACTAACTTTTGTAAACTAACCTTGTCCTTTCTGTGGGGAATCTGCTTAATATTCGTGGCTGATGGTCCTTTATTTGAAACTAGTACGTCGCATGTCATTGCTGGTAAAGCAAAGTGTGCCGCACAGGCTTTCTTAAGATTTGCCAGGGATAGATCTTCATACGGGAAATCTACAAATTCTCGCGGTTGTACTGGTCGGAAGGTTTGCTTATTGTCTGGCTCCGATGCTAACCTTTGGACTATTATTTCATGGGGAGCGCTTGAACCTTTAGCCTTCCGATTCGCATCAGGTGCCGTCCTCTTGTTCGCCATTTGCTGCTTTAAACGATCCCATGTCGCTTTCCTTTTATTACTCATGTTTTATTAATTAAAACATCAGGGAAAGTATTACCAACGCTCAATATCAGAGTTTCAGAGCAGCGAACTGGCAAAGAACTCTGCGGAAATGGCGCGAAAGTTAAACCGTTGACCAACTATATCGCGGGCTATGGGCCGAATGGGCTTCATGCAACATTTTGTTTTGGATTTCATTTTGAATTTCGTATTTAATGATCAGGCCCAGTGGTCTCATAGCATATGAAAACGAATTTGAATTTGTATTTTAAATGTTTTCATAACTTGTAATTTCTTACCAATTATTCTTTTATTTTTCAATTTTTATATTTTTTATTTAACTTTATTTTTAAAATTTTTAGTTTACCATTTTTTGTTTAGTTTTACTATTATTAATTTTGTGTCTTTATTTTTCGTTATTTTTCAAATATTTTTAAAATTTTTCTGAATTTTTTTTGAAATCTTTTTTATTTTATTTTTAATATATATTTTTAGTAAAAAATAGTAGAAATATGCTATTGTTTTGCTATGAGCCCAATGGGCCACCATATATGGTTGATTTGTAGCAATGAGTAACATACACTGGAAAAAATGTGAAATCCATAATATGAAATTTGCAATTGCACCACTAAATCCATAGTTTATCCATACTATTTTTATAATATATCCATAATATGGAATTATATACAATTTAATATTATGGATAATCAAAATCCATTCTATTTCCAATGAATGAAGGTCCATACAATATTTTCCTTCTATGGATTTTCAATTTTTTCCAGTGATACAATAAGAATATTTTATCTGACAACTCAGAGCATACTGTATTAATACGTTGACATAGGTCATTGTACTAATGTGGATAACATTCATGTTCAGTTGGCCGAGCACATGATGTGAATTTCTAAATTTACACATGTTTCATACATAAAATGACAAAGACCATCAGTATAAAAATATATAGTTAATACCACTTTGTGCCTTTGTTTATACTGTCAGACGTGTTATCTTTTCTTTATAGCTATTTGATCATTATGATGAGTTCTGTCCCCGCAATTAAGCATGCAACGTGTTCACTTTTAATAGAAATCGAGTACATCGTCTACTGCCAAGTGCCAATCGGCGCAATGTGACCGGTTTGTTTCAGTTTGGGTGCTGACTATAGTAGACCTGATACACCCAGTAATCAGTATTAAGAAGCCAAACTGTTTGTATCGTGTTGTCTGTTTCACATACATTTATCTTGCACATAGTTAAATAAGCTATGTTTTGTATCTTTGTGACATCAAATACAAATACCATGCATGATGTATCAAATTTCCATATCAGGATTTATAATAAGTTCAGCTCTGATTAATACGTCTTATAAATAATACATGTGATGTCATCAGAACAGCATGTGTCCAATTATATAAATAGATAAATAAGCATACAAATATGTTTAAATTGCTGCTTACCTTCAATAAAAGCCATATTTGAACGAAAAATCTGCAATATTAACTTCGAAAGTTTTGAGATTTCACAAATCGCTTCTTGTTGATTTGAAATTACATGGAAAAATTATTATCACGCGAATTAATTTGGCTTGCCGGCTAACCAATCATGTTGCATAACTGACCGGCCGAGGCCAGGGCCATTTTCGCCGACGCCGCGGAGGTAAAATGCCCTGGGTACGAGGTTGCCATTTGGAAGGAAAAACCCTCCCGTATACCATTTAGGTTCAAAATAAAAAAACCAAATCATTTGAAAGTCACGCGCAATCTTCGCGAAAACTTCTCGTGGACACATGACAGGGTTCACGAAACGTTTGTTCGCAACCGCAGAAACATAACTAAATATATTGTATTTATTGTATTTTTATGATTTATGATAAAAACAATAAATATTTGCGTAGTTTTGTCATAAATCATAAAAATGTGTAGATGACATACTGACTTTGGAATAAATTAGCGATGATTCACGACTTGTTAAACATTCTGTCATAGCCATGCAAGAGATTTATATTCTTCTCGAACTTTGGATGTATGTAAACTTATCTTTAAGCGTTTTGCTTTGGTTTTCCTGTTGCTCTTCAACCCTTGAAAGCCGGTGAAAAGCAAAGGGAAGTAATCGGAGCAATACAATTAGATTGATGCAATTCCTCGCCTGACAACACTGTCCAACATCATAACTCATCGTAACTCATCATAACTTCGCTAATTTTCAAATGTATATATTCTTTGGGAAGAAGTGCTAAATATCATTGTATGATCATTACCTTGATTTTCACTTCATAATCAAGTAAAACTGGAGGGGGGGGGGGG